ATACCCTTCCTGGACCTGTTCCTTCCTCTCCAGCTCCAACTTAAGGCATTTTAGTACACTATTCGTTTCATCGAGTCTGTCTTTTAGGAGCCGAGCCTTTTCCTCCGACGATGTCTTCTCAAGCTGGAGGGCGTTAAGCTCATACTTAAGGTCTCGCATCTCTTTCTCAGCCTTTCTGTTGGCCACAGTTAGTTCATCTACCTGCTGTCTAAGCTCTTCTTTTTGTTTGTCATGCTCTTGCTGAGGACTGTCTATGGCCGTACTTGATGTGGCCTGTGCATTTTCTCGACAGGAATACTGGATTTCGGTTATTCTTCTTCTTGCTTCCAATTCAATTTGTTGCTTTTCCTTCAGCTGTTTCTCCGCCACCTGCTTCTGAAAGGCCAGGTCTCTCTCCATCTGTTTTACCAGCTTCAGGAGTTCCTCCTCACTGTCCCTCTTTCGTTTCAGCTCTTCCATCAACTTGTGTTTCTGTTGTTCTAAATCATTAAGACTTGAATCTTTCCTTTTAAGATGATCTTCCAGTGTTCTCCTGGTGAAGGTGTTTTCTTCTAACTGATTTCGGAAGTTCCGGAGGTTTTCTTCCACGGCAGCTCTTCTGGCTTCCGCCTCCGAGGTGAGCTGCTTTACTCGCTCCAGCTCCCTCTCTGCAGCTTCCTTCTCCCTCACGCTCGTCTCGAGCTCCCTGCGATACTGCCTGGCCTCACTCTCTGCCCTGATCTTCTGCAGAGCAATGTCTTCCACGTTCCTCTGCTGCTTTCTCAATTCATGTTCTGCAGCCTCCTTGACCTTGGGAAGCTCCTCCTCTACCCGGGACTTCTGCTTCTTTAGTTCGGCTACCATTGTTTCCAATTCACTGATCTTTCCTGTAAGTTTGCTGTTTTCAGCCATTGTTGCTTTCTGACGCTGAAGCAGATCTGAATACGCCCCATGTTCAGAACTCTCCTTAGACCTTTTCATCTACAAGAAACATCATGAAAGGGTCAAACCTGCTCAGCTGAAATGGATTGTACAGCATCTGAGGCAGTGCTCCCAAGACCAAGAGACCGCACATGCAGAACAAGCCCTGTAGCCGCCACCTGCGCCTGTGTCTTCAGAGGAAGCATGAGAAAGTCAGCAGGGCAAGTTTCCCAAAGAATCTAGTTTTGCCCCCAAGAAACGATCCTACAGAACATGCAGCAGAGCCCAAAGTTCCACAGATGAGGAATTTAAACTTTGCTCAGGATGATATTCATTCTGCTCCTGCACAAAATTTAATCCTGTAGAATCTAACAGCATTTAGTTTTCAATAGCTGGCTGAATGGAAATTTAAAGTGATAATTACAGTTCCATGTTTTATGACAAAGAAAAGAACCTGAGAACAAAGAACTAAATTCAGAAATAACACTTAACATGGGAAAGGAGAAAAGTGATATAAAATCTTGAATTTCTGAATCGTATCTATGCCGGACATGGAATGACAATTATAATGATCAGAATTGCTAATGCAAAGGCAGCTCTTGTCCTTGATGGATTTAGAGATGTGATTCAAATACTCAGACTTTGCTATTGCTGTGAGTGGCATGTCTCATATGAAATTCATTTTGACAAGTACTTTTAAAACCCCATAAATACAAAGGTATTTGTGAAATATAAATGCTTTAAAAACATACTTAGGGATTCATTGCCAATTTATCAAATAAATATAAGAAAACCTTTTTACAGCTGGGAGGAGTCCACACTGACTGAGGAACTAAATGACTAGGATTAGTTTACCAACATACTTAAATTCTCTTCATTAACATCATTATGTTGTTAGCTTTGTATCAACTTAAAATAGAGAAAAACAAAAATTGTTTTATATAGCTGATTTGTTTTCATTGGTACACAAGGCAAATTTCAAGAATTTAATTCATAACTAACCATGTATCTTCTTTTTCATTCTCTAATTTCTTGATGTCCGGTAATTTTTGGATGAAAATTTCAGTTGTTTTCTTTATTAGTCTAGATATTTGTTATATGAATTCACATAGAAACAAACATCACAACTGCTATGCTCAATGCTGTGTTTTCTTCAATTTTATATCAGAGTCAACTCTTAGTAACACTAAAGGATTCTGTCTATGATATTATGTTTTCACAGACACACACATCTGTAATCTCAGAACTCTGAGGTAGGAGCATTGTGAATTCCAAGGCCAGCCTGGGCTACACAGAGTGATGCTGTCTCAAAAAACAAAACTAAGCCAAGCGTGGTGGTACATGCCTTTAATCCCAACACTTGGGAGGCAGAGGCAGGCAGATCGCTGTAAGTTCAAGGCCAGCCTGGTCTACATAGTGAGTTCAGGTCAGCTGGGACTACAGTGAGACTCTGTCTCAAAAAGACAAAAAAAAAAAAAAAAAAAAAACCCGAAACCAAAACAAAACAAAAAACCTGGCAGGCCGTGGTGGTTCACACTTTTGATTCCAGCATTACAGAGGCAAAGGCAGGAGGATCTCTGTAAGTTTGAAACCAGCCTGGTCTACACAGTGAGTTCCAGGCCAACCAAGGCTACATAGTAAGACCCTGCCTCGAAAATAAATAATTAACCCAAAACAAACAAGAACAACAAAATTTAAAAGTTCTTTCTAAGGGGGATTTGGCAGTTACTTATCAAACCTTACTTTTAGATCTATTGCAAGAAGTCTTGAATCTTTTTCTCTTGGTCAGACTGCGCTTTCCTCAAACCAAATAATAACAGTAACAACAATCTGTTGCTGAGTTTTCAGTATCTCAATTAGAGTCATCTTAGTGGTTTATGAATACTTCCAAGCTGTCTGGTTAACTACGAAATTTTTCACATAATAAAATTTACTTCAAATAATTCACATCAATTACTGATTTTGTTATCCTGTAGAAATCAAACTTATTCACATACAAATAACTTCCTCAAAAGGTTCCTCTAGTTTTTATGCCATGGGAAAATACCTAATAGAGATTGGTCTCAACAAAGGCTACAGAATCTTCACCATCTAACACAACTATAAACCAATATTTTACATTTCTATAGCCAATTTGATTACTTCTGAAATCAATTTTCATCTATCTTTGATTTTATGTTTATTATGAAAAATTCTTCACTCAAGGCAAAGTTTGGCCTGTGGATATTCAAGACTCATTTCAGAAATGTTATGCTTTTGAGTCTAAAAATTTGACCTAAGTACCTTTTATAGAGCATTCCACTAATATGATTCTTAAGTGAGGGCTTTTTAATTTTAAATTGTAGTCTTTGCTATGTGTCTTTCAAAATTGTTTTTAAAATTTTTTAATTCACTATAAATCTTTGGTGTTTCAGAAATGATTTGCATTTGAGTCTTTTAAAATATTTTTGTTTTGGGGCTGGAAAGATGGCTCAGTAGTTAAGAGTACTGACTGTTCTTGCAGAGGACCAAGGTTCAGTACTCAGCAGCCACATGGTGGCTAACAACCAGTAACTCAGTTCCAGGAAATCTGATGCCCTCTTCTTGCCTCCATGGGTATTGAATGTATGTGGTGTACTTACATACATGCAGGCAAAAAACTCAAACACATAAAGTAAAAATAGCAAAAAAAATATTGAAAATGTTTCTATCAATGTCTACCTTACTGCAGAAATTGAGCTAAGTGGCCTACATACATATAATTAGATATATACTGTAAGGAAAGTACATATTTTCTATTTAACAACTGCATATAGTATTTAAAAGGTATATATACCATTCAACATAGAATATCTATCAAAACCTAGTGAAAATATGAAAATTATTTCATATACAAGAGGTGCATTACATTTAGTAAGGTTGAAATATTCTAGATTTCTTTTTAAGCATAAAGGAAGCTGGTTAGAAAATCTTGTGTATATACGTTAGTGGTTTAGTTGCAGAAAACAGTTGAATCTGAACAGACTAAAATAGTTTATAAAAGCAGTCACATTTTCAGAAACTAGGAAGGGTGAGCACTGGCACTATTCTGCTCCCTTAGTAGGAAGGCAGCACCGTGCTTCAGACACCTTCGGATTTTCAACAACTGTCCAGCTATGGCAGCCAGGCCCCACATTCTACCTCTTATATGCCCAGCATTCATTCAACTATTTTTGTCTGTTCTGAGGTAAGGAAGAGAAAATACACCAAAATAATAGAGCAGAGAATAATCCTTTCAAGATTGGAATCAATAGGCTGTCATGACAATGTATTTTTAGAAATAATTTCTTACTTTTCCTATTTTGCAATACAATTATAGAATTCAATACAATTGTACAATATAATTCAGGATCAAAGCTGTACGAGTCCTCCAAATCAGAATGGTACTTACGTACTGTTTTGATCATGCTGATTATTATTATTATTATTATTATTATTGTTGTTGTTGTTGTTGTTATTTTGGAAAAAGTACAAAGCCTAAGAAAAGTGCACAAATCCTAAAAAGCAGCATTCCTTTATACAAATACCTACTACTGTTTCTTTTTAATGTATCTATTTTGTAATAATTTTAATTATCTGACAATGTATATTAATTCAAGATTATAAAACACCTGTGGTTCATGTAGTATTTCTCTATAGACTGCATACAAGCAACAACTCCACTTAACAGAAATATTTTTTCTTAGTTGTAAGAAAACTGAAAAAATTCTGCTAAAACACCAACATTTTCTAACTTAAATAAAAATATTTATGACATTAACCCTATTATGCTAAGGTTAGAAGGTGACTTTTTTGAGGTTGGGGGATAAAATCTAGGCCTCATACATGCTAAGCAAATACTCTATCCCAAGTTACACGCCCAGTCTACCTGAAGTAAAAATTTTAAAATGCTTTTCTATTTGAGAGAATCTTAAAAACAAACAAAGTCCTAGGCTTTCACTCTTTTTGTGATTATCTACTTGCATATTAGCTATTAGCCATGTAAATTTATCATGAGACCTATTTCAGCTTTCCTAAACTATATTATAGTTACTGCACAAATCGAGTTCCTTTTCATTCTGCTGTTCTTCATTAATGGTTACCTCCTCCTCTTCCAGTCTTTTTAATGAATCACCAGCAAATTTAATATATTGTGTCATAAGAGTGACCAGAGCAGTGTATCGAGTCCGTAGGTCCATGAACTGCAAGGAAAAAAATAATGAAAACATGCTCTCCGATTACCCCTAGTAAGCTGTGTGAACACTACTGTCAGGCTTTAGAGAATAAAACACACAATGACCCAATAATAAGAATTACCCCAGAAGTAATGAGCTTGCTAGTCTTTTGTATATCATACTAAGTTATAACTTTCTTCCTAGTTTAATCATCAAGTACATTTATCTCTGTAACCGATAACGTTTTAAAAGGGTTTTTAAAAACATTCCATAGAATGTGTAGTGTTACGGGTACAAACTTTCTTTATGGGAATGATTTTTTTAATGGTGATAATGATTACACAATGTGGTGATACCCTAAAATTCCGCTGTCATTTAAAAATTAAAATATTTAACATTTAAAATGGCCAATGCCAAGTATGTCTTACCATAATAAAATTCTAAAGGTGTGGCTTCTCTCTTACCTCCTGAACAACGAGATCCGCCGAGCTCTGCATTCTTCGGCGTTTTACTGGAGATTTTTGTTGTGAATCTACCATGGCCCGATAGGTCATTGTTTGCAATTCATAGTCCTGTAAAAGAGAGTCAGTATGAAAAAAGTTAGTATGAGCAAAGCCCTACAGTTTCATGCCACGGTGAGTTACCCTAGAGAATTGGTATCTAGTCTCACTGAATTAATTTCAAATAAAGAAAAAAATGATAAAACTACGTGTTTTGGAATCCATTTGATCCTGGAAACACTTCTAAGGTGATGACGTGAACAGACACATGCAAAGTGGCCAGCAAAGGCCCCAACTGTCCTGAGAATCCATAAAACATTTATTACAGAATACTCAAGCTATATCCAGCTTCCCCTATTCCCGGTAGACAATGGAGCTATAGAGCTGGGAAGCTGAAAAACGGTCAGTGATATCCTTAAAAATATGACAGTGCCACTTTGTTACAAAGTTAAATGTTCTCTCAGTTTTAAATATTTTATTATTTTTATTTTATGTGTATGAGTATATTGCCTGCATGTATTTAAGTGCACCCATTTCATGCAATGCCCAAGGAGGTCAGAAGAGGGTTTTAGATTCCCCTGGAACTGGAGTTATAGACGACTATCAGCCGTCATGTGGGTGCTGGGAATGGAACCTGGGTCCTCCGCAAAAGAAGCCAGTGCTCTTAACTGCTGAGTCATCTCTCTAGGGCCATTCTCTCAATTTTAAAGAATGAAAGAAAATGGGAAAGTAACAAACTAATTTCAGAGATATGTGTTTATGTTGGGGGAATGTACTCATTTTCATGAGGCAGAAATCAAGCAGATGAAGAAATTAGGGGGCTATCATCAGACTCATTTCACAGAGAATTATTAGGTAAGTATAAACAGGTTCAAACGAGTATCCAGTCTTTGTAATACAGGATGAAATGGCTTGCATGGCTTTCAAGGTATGATATAACATTATATACCTAAATATTAAACTTGCGTAAAATAATTTAATCTTCTTACCTTTACTGCAGCTGAGTACTGTTCTGAATACTTTTGACATTCATCCATTTTACTCTGTTTCATTTCTATTTCAGACACCAGCATCTGTAAATAAACACACTTTAGAAGAAACAGGACAAGGAATTCCACACCATTGTACTTCTTAAGAGGCTCATGAACTAAGAAGCATCCACATCACTCAATGCGAACTTCCAGATGCTTTGTACCTTACATATCTCTTGCCTTATAGATAAATAATAACAAACTTCCAGAATCAGACTCATAAGCGAAAGTAGAATTATTCAGAGCATAAATTACCAAGAGCAGATCTGATCTCCCTTGTATCCCCATTCCTGATGAAAACAGAATTAGAAATTACTGTCTCTGAAAGATGGAAAAAAAAAAAAAAAACCCTTAAAGCCTTCAATTTTGCATCAAATGTGACTGCCTGGTAGTCTACTACTAGTTATTTTTAATTCAGCAAGCCACAAAACTGTAGTGTTCAGTAAAGTACCAAGAAAATTAGACAAATACCTATGAATAAGCAAGGATTAGGTATGTAAAAACTGCCCCAACATATTATCAGTGCTTTAAAAATGACTTCCAGTGAGGCTAAACAGCCCACAGGCCATGGGAGAAAGCCCAGTACAACCACTATGCTAAACAGATATATTCTAATGACCTATTGTTATACCCATAGATTAATGTATCTCACAACTCTCAGGAGAGAAGATTCCTTATAGGGCAGATGAGGATTAACACAGAGGACCACAACAGGCCAATGTGCAGAAAATAAGAGGCTACACACTGCTTATTCCTGAATCGGACACCTATAGCTAACTTCTAACTCCCAAAGCTTAGTCAGGAATCATTGCCGAAAAGAGGGCAGAAAGATTGTAGAGCCAGAGGAGTTGGATGACCACGAGGACAGAGTTTTCCAGACAGCTGGTCAGTTACTCATATGAACTCAGAGCAATGTTGACAACACAGAGAAGTCCCACATAAGCTCAAGTCGACAAAATCCCAACACAGACTTGGGGAAGTGGGTAAGAAATCTCAACCCTATCATAGGGACTACTGGCAACAGACGACTGCTGGGAAGGGGAGATTTCAGTCTTATTTAAGGGTGAGACTCTTAGTAGGTTGACCAGGCTCCAGTGGATGAACCCACACTGAAAGTTTATACCTTTCTCTAAATAATTACCTTTTCTTTTTTAACATAGGAAATGGCCATTCCAAATGCAGACATAACCTTAATACAAGGACTTCTTTTTTATGTACCTTCTGCTGATTCAACTGTGTGGCTAGTGTTTTGCTGTTTTCAGGTTGATTTTCCTGAATCTTTCTCTGAGTAGTCTCAACCTGCTGGATCCAGTCATCTAGATGATGGTAGGTGTCTCTGTAGTACTTCAATGATTTCCCAATGCCTTCCAAGTCACGCAGCCTAAGAGAACAGTAACAGAACATCCACAGTTTCAAATAGGGGGTTGAAGGTGCAGGGAAGAGGAGACAAAGTGACTTTCACAGTGCACTAAGCTCAGCATCTGACGTGTCTGCAGAGCGGCACACTTCCAAAGGTGCACCATACAGCACTGGGTTGAAGACAAATATTTGACTCTTGGAGATGTAAAGTTTACTCTCAAAGGGACTAAAACTTAAAAGGCAGGACATTTAACCATAATTATTGTTAATAAGGATACCTTGAATAGCCAAGATTTGTCTTAAATGATGGCTCAGGTTTAGAAGGAGAAGGTAATTCAACAGATGGTTCAAATGGTCTCAGAAAATGTCTTCCAGTAGCTAAAGTGAAATACCTATTTCTGATTTTAAAATCAGCACATTAAACAAATTTATCAGATATTTACAGAGACGAAATATATATATATATTTATTAGTTTTTTATTTTATGTATATGAGTGTATTGCTTGCATGTGTGTAAGTACATCCGTGTTGTGCAATGCCCATGGAAGACAGAAAAGGGTGTCAGATTCCCTGGAACTGGAGTTAGGATGGTTGTTAACTGCCATGTGGTTGCTGGGAATTGAACCCAGGTCCTCTGCAAGAGCAACCAGTGCTCTTAACCACTGAGACAATTCTCCAGCCCCTGAGCTGTGTGTGTGTGTGTGTGTGTGTGTGTGTGTGTGTGTGTGTGTGAGTATATCTCTTTCTGTATATATATTTCTAATAGAACTTCATTTCTTGAATTGAGCTATATCATGAAAAACATTTACTTTATATTAACATAAACAAAAATAATGAACCCTAAATCTGCCCATTTCCTTTCTTGTTTTAATTCTGTCATTGAAGAAATTATTTCAATTGTCTTATATTTTCAATGAAAATGAAGTTAGATCATTTCAATTTCTTTACATTTCTTAGATATAACTGAGGTTGCTACATAAAGCCCTAAAAAATAAGCACATGATTTCTCTTACTAACTCATGGTTATTTGAACATTATAAGTTGGTAGTAATTTGGAGAATTATACTGTTCTTTCAAAATGAAAAAGAATTATATTGTTTTTCTTTCAAAAAGGCAGATGATATAAATGCCAGAACGCACTAATGTTTTAATTACACAAAGCTGAAAATGTCGTTTTCCAGTTAAACGTCTTGCTAAAATGCACCATGTAAGAAAGAAATGTAATGAGCAGCAATCCTGGAATCCAACAAATGTTTTTTAAAGCCTGATAAGTTTAGGCTTTTTCCACTGTGCACAGTGGATATCAAATCTACACTTAACTGAACTGACCTGTTGTCAATCTGCACATGAACATTTTGCCATCTTTCAACCAGCTGGTCTGCTTTTTCTTTGTGCCAGTCAAAATCAAGGTCCCGTTCTTTATATGTCTTAAACATTTCATCACTGATGGCTTTTGCTTTCTGCAACTCATCCTCCAGTGCATGGAATACATCTCTCTTTTCATCTACCTCTGATCGCCATTGCTAAAATACATGAGTTGGTGAACAGTAAGAAAGTGGATTAACAAATCATATAGTAAACACATTACCTGTGACAATTTATTTACAATTAATTGATACACAATCAAATAAAGGAAAGCCCATTATATCCAAAATTGTTGTGGAATTAAAAATATGAAACAGAAGAACATTCAGAAATATTTTCCACATAAGGAATGTACTGCTTGATGTTTGAAGTTGGAGCTCAAGGCGAGAGAAATAATTGTAAGTATTATCTTGAAAAACAGCCCAAAGTGAGTTTCTTACCTTCAAAGTACTCATCAGGTTCTCAATATTATTCTTGTCAGCTATAACTGCTTCTTCCTCACACAATTTGGTTTCATAGAGTTTTACAAGGGCTTCTGCAGCTTGAGTGTTTTTTAATACTAAATTAACTGTCTTCAACCTTTATAAGAGAGATAAATAATAGGCCATATTGTTAAATGCTTATTACATAATGCAGTCCTTAAGCACCATCACAACTCACAGCATGGCTTATTCTGTGCCTGGTAACATCACCTGACACATCTACTCTAAGGCTGGCATTAGGCTGATTCTCTTCAAAATAGATACCACCCTCTGCCCTGACCCACATGTGGTATTTACAGAGATTATAACAGAAGATAGTTTCTAGGCTAGGCAACGAATGAGAAGAAACACCTTCAGGCTACAAAAACTCAGCTACCAAAACAAAAATGTGGGAAGACAGTACATTATACACTAATCTCTAGGGAAGGGAAGACAGTACATTATATACTAATCTCTAGGGCAATTCCCTTTTCAACACAGAGAATCATAAATCCAATGTCTTAAGATACAATATGCGTGTTCATAAAAAGAAATTTTGCAATCGACATTCTGAATGACAGCTGTATAAAGCAAATGTCATGTTAAAAATAGAAGGTCCTTACTTTTCTATGTATGTGCAAGACATGGAGTGAATGTGGTTCATGTTTTGAATGACCACACTGAGCTCAGATCGCAGAGTAGGAACAGAAGGAGAGTCTGCCGCTTGACTGAAAAACTCTTCACATTTATTTGTGACTATTCCCAAATCATCTTTAAGTCGTTCCAGCTCTTTCTTTAGTTTCTATTAAAGAGAACAAACAGAGGTATTAGGTAATCATTCCCAGTGTATATATGTGTGTGGGTGGGGGTATTTTTAGCAATTTAAAAACACATTTTGCAGTATTATCAACATAAATATCTATATGATCTTTTCATTATCAAATAAAGGCATGGCATTCCAATCAGTAATGCCCTTAACTGTGTATCCCCTTAGACCCAAACATCTAACTTTTCAGCTTTGCATAGAACAGGTATATAAATACTCTTACTGAGAAGTCCCTAGGGATGGGTAGAAGGGAATGTGTTCCTGTGTTTACCTAACTCAGAAGCAGAAATGAATTATAGAATCCTATTTTACAATCAGCAATAAATATGCAATTGGATCTCTTGAACTCAGATTCAAAATTGGATGTAGAGGATCAAGGAGGTGACATTCATGGTCACTAAGAAAGCAAATTGTTTTACTTTTTCTAACACATATTTAACTCTTACCTCCTGCTCTGTGATTCTGAACATACTTTCATGTAAATCATCTCTTTCCAGGGGTGTCCGGATCTGCCGGATCAGCCGATCTTCACAGCTCTCTAACCGAAGTCTTATGTTTCTCACTTCAGAGATGTAAAGATTATAAACTGACTCCTCTTGCTCCTCTGTGAAAATAAACACAATATTCAAAAAGTATCTTCTTCTTCTTATGCCAGGCGTGGTGGCACACACCTTTAATCCCAGCACTCGGAGGCAGAGGCAGGGGATCTCTGTGAGTTCAAGGCCAGCCTGGTATACATAGTGAGTTCCAGGACAGCTGGGCTACAGGGAGACCCTGTCTCAAAAAAGACCAAAAAAAAAAAAAAAATCTTCTTGTATTTTGAAAGTTCTTGTTCAAGCTTTAAAATAGCAGTTTTACTATTACTGAGTCACAGTCAAACTAGTGGTTCCCAAGATCCCAAACCTATTCTAAGGATATAAACCTTAAAACAGAAATCCTAAAATGTGAATTTTAAAATTTAAGCAGTACTAAAAAATAATTTCCCTAATGCCATTTAAAGTACCATTCTGAGATGTCCAAAGGAGGCAATATGTCATATTCTGTTTCATAGTCACAAAAATAGGAATTACATGTTACCAATTAACCATTAAAGTTAAATAAAAATACTTAACAGTGCAAAACAGATAAGGAATGTGCTAGTGTTTAAGATTTTGAAACACAGAATATTACTAATAAAATCACTTGTTTCCTCAGTAATACTGAAGAGTTAAGAAAAAGATTTACATTGAATAAAAGTTAGCTAAAGAAAGCACTTTGCTTTAATCCCTGTGTAAAACTGAACATGGGAAAATACTTCAATCTTTTTTGAATCTGAAGGATCACCATCCTGAATACTGCCTTGAAGAACAGTGAACATGTTAAAAAGCAGATACAATACGGATTCATCACGCTGTATACTCAACTGGCAACCTTTCATTACTTCAACATTTAGAAATGAATTTCTTCCTACATCCTCCTACCTTAAAAGTTTTGTTCATTGATTTTTGGTGGTTCTGGGGGTTGAACCCAGGGTTTCATTTATGCTAGATCTGAGATACAGTCCTGCCATTCAAACATTTTTTATAGTGCTACAGCAATTTTATTTACATATCCCAGGCTGAGTGACAAAATATACCTACCTAGATTCAGACTCCCACAGAAAGCAGAAACCTGCCTAGACTAAACTGGTGTGAGGAAAACAGGCGGAAGTGCTATGCCTTACCTCTTTCTGCAGATTTAAGAAGCTCTTGGTAATACTTCTTACACACATTCACCTCCTTTTCCAGCTGTGTTATATCTGAGCCTGAAAATATTTGGGATTCCTGGCTATCTTCTAGAAAATCTTCCAAACGGGACTGCAGATTACTCAGAACTTGCTGGTGCTCACCAGGCAACATTGTCTTTATCTAAAAAACAGCAAAGATCCCTTTAATTAAGTGATTATGGTGCTTAGGGTTCCATTTGAATGGGACCGCTCTCACAATGATGTCATGGTATATTTCAGCTTACTCACAGTTAAAAGAAACATTTGAAATTAATATTTTTATTTTATTTTTTAATATTTCATGTATTATTTTTATTTTATGTGTATGAGTGTATTGCCTGCATGTATGTAAGTGTACCCATGATGAACACTGCCTGTGGAGGTCAGAAGAGGGCGTAGGATCCCCTGGAACTAGAGTTACAGCTATTAGCTACCATGTGGGTGCTGGGAATTGAATCCAGGTCTTCTGTAAGAGCAGCCAGTGTTCTTAACCAATGAGCCATCTCTCCAGCCTCAAATATTATTTTTATTAATTTCACATTTTAAAGGTAAGGAAAAACATCTATAAAATTCAACCAGTAAAATCAAACTATACCCATCTCTTTCTGTCCAAATAGTACTTTCCAATTCCTTATCTTCAGGAAGCACTAAGTGAAATGTGTTCATCACAGATTTCCCTAATTCGTAGAACAATGCCTTGTCTATGTCAGGCTGTGATGGATACTCACTGAATATGTGAATACCAACATGGATCTGCTGGGCTCCATCTTATTTCAGAGCAAAAACACACTTGACCCCCCTCATGACAAGGTGCCCACATTTCTGGACATGCTGGTTTAACATGCATAGTCATACTTACTGAAGCCACATTACTAGCTCGAATTCTATCGATTTCATTGACTAGATAATGCCAGGAGACGACACTCTTCATGTTTATGTGAGACTCATGCCAAAGAGTGAGAACATTCTGATATTGCTGCTCAATTCTGAAATGTACGAAGGAAAATACAGATTAAGCCTTTTAAAAAATGTTACAATTTTTCTTTTTGTTTCTGAAATGCCCCATGTTTACCGGCTCTAGAGTCTTCTGATCCTGTGGGACTCTGACAAAGCACTGACTGCTTCTTTAAGCTGCAGAAAGCCCCCAGACCATACAAACCTGTTTGCAAAGTCGACTGCTTCTTTGTTTGGCGGAGGAACCGTGAAGCACACAGAAGGGACCATAGCCTCATTCCCTGTAGGACTAATGACCTTCCATTTAGCACGGTGAGAGTTGTTTGCCAAAACACATTCATCGTCTTTATAAATGGTTATCTGGTTTTAAATGACGAAGAGAAAAACCAAGGTCACTATTAACTAATCTTTTATCATATATAATCTTGGTAATTATTCTCTTATGAGACAGAAAAAAATCCTTGTCATTATAAAGCAGTATGATCTCATTTTTCAAATAGATGAATAATCACAGAATCTGGTCTGTTTTAAGAGTCACTGTACCTCAATCTGTCTATAGTCACAGATTGCTTTGATGGGAATAGAAGTTTTAAGCAGACTGTCGGGATTCCTGGGCTTCAGCTGAACAATAGTATTTGCTCTGCCCATCAGGCCAGCAACTGAGCTTTTGTACTGCAGAAGTTCTTCCTTTTCTTCCTAGTTAATAAATACAATGGATTAAAGGCTTGAACTCTCCATTCCTTCAGGGAGTTATACAATTCAAGTGAAACTTTATCACCAACTGTTCCCTGACCATCTGGTCTAAATTTTCACTGTCTCCGCCCATCATACTCTTGCATGCCCACTTGTTTATTTGGTTTGGTCGTTTTTCTCTTTAAGCATTGCTACTAATACTCTACACACACACACACACACACACACACACACACACACATTTTATCATGTGTGTTTTTGAGACAGGGTCTCCCTGTAGCCCCAGCTGGCCTGGAACTATGTCAAACAGGCTGGCCTCGAACTCACAGAGATCCGCCTGCCTCTGTCTCCTGAGTGCTGGGATTAAAGGTGCACCACCATGCCTGGCTGCTGCATATATTTTATTTATTTAGCATACTACCATGGAGCTACCCTTTAACACAGAAGCACCATAAGGGAGAGATTCCTGTCTATGAACTGAAAACAATGCCTAGAGAGATACAGAATGTTCCTAACAAGGTTCTACTTGTGGAATAATCACACACACACACACACACACACACACACACGTAAAGCATTTTAAAACATCAAGGCTATCACATAAAGTGCCGCTGCTCTACTATCAAAAAATGACAGAACTAAAGGCCCAAGCCCTTAGTTGAATGAAGTAGAAACAGATTGTCAATAAAATAACAAGGATCTACACATAGAAAAATAAAGTAAAACACTAATCTACTCCCTCTAACACATTATTGACAAGGCCCATAGTCTGTGTTTCAGTACCATTGACTCCTGGACAAGGTCTTCCAGCTTGTGAATGCTGCTGGATCTATCACAGCTGTACTTGCGCTGAATGGCATCTTTTAGATTCCTTAAGTAATCACTAGCTTCTTTGGCATCATTGAAAAACTAAGGAAAAGACAAAACTTGGCAGTTAAAGTACATTAAATACCACTAAAGCACAGAGTTGTCAAATTTGGAGGTCCAGACCCTGCATACACCCCGAATAAGGGAGAACAAAATAAAAGCACAAAATAACATAATAGCAACATCCTTTTCAGAACTCACTATGAACCCTTGGACTTGGAAAGCTATACATGAATATTAATTACCTAAAGTATACAAGTATGTTATATTTGGGCTCTGTATTATTTTGAGTGAAAGTCTGTTTAACTTTAGGGCTCAGTTTTTAAGTGGGGATCTCAATACTACATTAAAATTTCTTAAGAATAGATGGAGACATCTGGTTGATTCTATAATAAATACCTTTCCTTAATATGAGACATACTTGTAGAACAATAACACTTACAAAATTTAGGGGATGTTTAAAAGAATCTTTTTGTTATGGGTATGTACATATTTTTGTGTAGAGATCAGAGGTCAACATTGGTGCCTTCTTCAATCATTTGTCTACTTTTACCTTTGAGACTGGGTCTTTTACTGAACCTGAAGCTAGACTGGCTGGCCAGCAAGTCCCAGGGTCCCCCTGTCTCTACCTCCCTGCATAACAGCAGACAGCTCACCATTTTTTAAAATGTGGATTCTGGGGAATGAACTCAAACTTGGGTCCTCATGCTTGCAAGGCAGGCAATTTACTGAATGAGGCATCTCCTCTGCTCTAGGATTGAATAGCATGCTGTAATCTCTCCCATAAGACCCGAAACTAGCCCTTATATTCAACAAAGAAAATATTAGTTTATTCCCCCATGCATTTCGTACATGTTTATATGTTCTGTGACTGATAAAGATTCTGCTTCTCAGCCCAATGACAGTGCTGTCTATTAAAGCTGTAATTCCACTCACCTCAAAATATGCGGTGTTCTCTTTTATGTGCTGCTCCACACACTGGCAGAGCTGTAAGATCCAGCTCCACTGTGTCTGCATTGCTGCTCTGTAGGCCTTAAGACAAAATACAGACACTGATACCAGCTACAGAAAAACAAGGTATCGAGGGCTGTGGTGTCCCTCAGTGACAGAGCATGTGCCTTATGCATACAAACTCTGAGGTTTGATCCCCAGTGCTGCAAGTACTGGTACTTTAATTTATTTTGAGGTTTTCTGAGACAGGGTGTCCTCAAACTCATGGCAATGCTCCTGCCTCAGCCTTTCATTGCAGGCTGAGAATATAGATATGCGCTATCATGCACAATTCAACTTTAATGATTTTAGATGATAGAATGATCTCCCAACAGTCCGAGTGTGGTGGGGCACCCCTTTAATCCCAGCATTTGGGAGGCAGAGACAGGTGAATCTCTATGACATTGAGGATGCTGCAAGCCAGCTGGGGTTACAAGGAGACCCTGTCTCAAAACCCCTCTACCAAAATACTCTACTATCCAAATTGCTGGAAAATTAACAAAATGAGCCATGAAAATTGGGGTAATAAATTGCCTTATCTAAGAGTTTCTCTTTATAAACCAGTCTTAGGCCAGGCATGGTGGCGCACGCCTTTAATCCCAGCACTTGGGAGGCAGAGGCAGGCGGATCTCTGTGAGTTCAAGGCCAGCCTGGTCTACACAGTGAGTTCCAGGACAGCTGGGGCTACAAGGAGACCCTGTCTCAAAAAGACAAAACAACAACAACAACAACAACAAAAACCCCAAAGTTTATGTAAGCTTTCTAAATTAGTCCAGTTGATTTTTATCAAATTTCTTTTATTACTTTTTAAATGTTTACTTTTTAATTAAAAAAAATTTATGTGTATGCGTGTGTTGCCTGCATGTAGGTCAGTGCACCTGTGTTGTGCAATGACCGCAGAGGTCAGAAGAGGCTGCCGGATCCCCTGGGACTGGAGTTACAGGCAGTTGTTAGCTGCCATGTGGGTGCTGGGATTTGAACCCCGGTCTTCTGCAAGAACAACCAGTGTTCTTAACCACTGAACCATCTCTCCAATCCCTTACTATTTTTATATTATGTGTATGAGTGTATTGTCTGCATGTGTGTAAGTGCACCTGTGTCATGCAACACCTGGAACTGGAGTTACAGACATTTGTTAGCCGCCACATGGGAGCTGGGAATTGAACTGCAAGAGCAGTCAGTGCTCTTAACTGCTAAGTCATCTCTCCAGCCCTGATTTTTATCAAATATCTAATTCCTTCTTAGACTATCAAAAAAATTTACGATTATTTTACATGAAAAAATTAACAACTGAAATAAATGCAAGCTATTCCTTCTATTTAGAAAACCAACCCTTTACTTGACTCCTTGGCTACTAACACTGACACCTGCTATATGAAATCCTTTTCCTCATGACAACCCAATCCTTCCTATGTCTGATTTTTTTTTATTATTGGGCCATAAAGTAGGCTTTCTAGCAGACAAATACAGAGCTTTACAATTTTTCACTCTGTTTTGCTAAGGAAAGATTGGGGGAGGGGTAGAAAAGGGGGTGTATACTTTCCTATCAATGCAATTCTTGCACTTTAATAATAACACTAGAAATTTTACTAAACGTTCACCTACTTGAATCTGTAATTAATACAAAGCAGATCTTTCACGGGAAAAATAATGTTGTAGAAAGAATACCTAGTTCATTATCAACTCCTCAACCCCGTTTTTTATACTTAAGGTGTAATTCTCCATCTTCCAGGAGAGGGTGCTCTGGGCACTTTAAGGACTGCATTAAGCCTGTCATTTGGAACACCCCACTCTTGGTGAGCCATGTTCAGGCAGGCTTTCCAGCAGATATATACTGCAGCACTGGGATTCTGGCAACATGTGACAGTATTTGCTTCATCAAACTAAGCTACTGTTTTTGTGTTTGTTACACATGGTAAGTTCATGCTCCACCACTATACTCCTGTCTCCATCAGACAACTGGCTATAAAAGACATATCATTGTGCATTGTTAAAGTACTAGTTTTTCCATATAAAGTATGAAATGGTATTAAGTAAATACCATTTACTTAAATGGTTAAGTAAGTATTACCCATCTATCCATAAAGGATACTAGATAGGCCAATGGGTTCATACGGCTAAGGTTGGATTTTACACCCTAAGACACTTTTAGATCATTTTAGATCATTTCTACATAAAAGTAACCAAATTCATGTTTTGATTTTCCATTCTCATAAAATTCTTAATTTATAATGATAGACTTAGCTGTCTTCTTCTCTCTACCTTAAGGAACACTCTATTTTTGATATATTATCATATAAAAATATATTCTGACTTGCAACTATTCTGCTTCCTCTCCCAAGTGGTTCACATTCTTCTATGTCTTTGTAATACTCATACATGTGGATGTAAAACCATATTTTATATGAAAGTGAAATACATCCCCCAAACTTCCTAATGGCTCTAGTAACATTTTGTGAAAGGATGGTATTATAGAATGAAAGATCTCAGATCCTTTCCCTCAGCTGTGTCTGAAGCATATCAGCTTTATACAGAGCATTTCCTCTGGCAATATATCACGGATGCCTGCTTGTGTATGATGCTCTCGGGCTTCTTACATACTCCCTTCACGTTCTGAAAGTTGCTAGCTCAGTTTAGCACAGGTTATTCTTGAAAATTAGAAGCATCTTCACTACCACAACTTCATGGGCAAGCCAGCAGTTCCCGTATCAGTTCTCCACTCCTGTACTTAAATGCTCCCTGTACACTAGGGAAGATATTGTTTCCAGATACCTTAGAAACCAGATCACACAAAAGCATTAAATTAAGCACAACAGGTAATGCTTCTTGAGAATATACTACATACAAAGAAGTGTTCTAAGTAGTCCCAACAAGCAATCATTTCTTCTCCTTACCACAACTCTACTAAAGCAACTTCCTCCATTTCCGGTAAGAAACAATGCTTAGCAAGACTATGTCAATTGTATGATATCATGCAGTCGGGAAGGAACAAAATACTAAAGCTTAAAGAGCAGCTCCCTCACATTTACAATAATACATGTCCTTGGCCACAGGGCTTGACAAAGCTACTACCTACTTTATTCTAAGTGATGATACATAGAAAGAACAAGAGAAATGAGGAAAAGAAATCATCAGGATTTGTGAGAAAAGCTATTTTGAGTCAGACTGTAATAAACATTAAGGATTTTTAATCTTTTAACTTCTCAGTGAAAGAGTTTAAAGGTAACAGATGTGGTATCAACACTGAGCCAGACCACAACATTTTCTTACTGACCTCAATAGTCAACCGAGCTGGATGGTTTTCTAGAAGCAGCTGCTCTGCTATCTCCTGAACCGATTTAATATTTTCCTCCTTTTGATCAAGTTCTCTCATTAATTCCTGACACAAGAAAGAATTAAGAAGTATATGAAAAAGAAGATCTAGACCTGAGATTCAATTCTGGCGTGCAAGTACGGCACTTACAGCGTGGTACTCTCTCTTCCGAGCTATGCTGGTATTTCTCTCACTCCAGTCGTAAGCAACTTCTTCCTCTTCTTTTTCATTCAACCAGATAAGTTCATTAGTTGCCCGACTTACAAAATTATGGAGTGTATCAAGGTGGCATTCCTGATTTCTAGAAGTGTTCTTTGTAAGGAAAAACACTGTAAGGATCATATTTTAGCAAACAGACAATGGAAACAGAAAGTCTAAAGCAAACAAACAAAAACTTACCAAGAGTTTTGCGTACTGATTCTCCAATCTGTGCAACTTGTCTGTGTAAGTCAGCTTGAGAGGAGCTGTCATCTGAATCTGGGGAAAGGGCATGGGGGTTAGGACTCTTAAATTCTGACTCACACTTGATGCATCTCTTACGGAGCTACAAGGTCTTTATGTAAGGAGAAAAACCAACATAAACTATAATGAAATACAAAAAATTAAAATCCATATACCTCACTAATTTTAGCTTCCTTAAGGCTAGATTCAAATTCTTCAATAGCTCGGTGAACATTTTTATGATTTTCTAAGTGGCTTTCAACACTTGGCAAATCTGAGCCCCATTCAGCGTGATCCAGCTGCTCCTTAAGTTGCAAAATACTAGTTAAAAAAAACAGAAGCTGACAAGAGTAAAACTGAACAACTTAGGTGAACTTGTTTTTACCTGCATCTCATCAACCCAATTCAAGAGATCTTGAACAAATTTCATATTGATTTCCTCTTCTGTTAAATTCTGATCCAGCAAAGAAGATTTTAGAAGGGGTTTTCGGATCTGCATAAATTTCACAGTCTGTAATGAATTTGGCTCTCCTCCTAAACTGAAATTTGGAGCTAGTCCAGATGGAAAACCAGGTGTATAAGCTGGAGTGACAGATGGAGTTAGGCGGGATGTCATCCCTGATGACAAGCCAGAAGTCACACTAGAAGACGTAAAGGAAGGTGTTAAACTCTGGGTTAGCCCTGAGTTCAGGCTGGGGTGTAAGGTCTGTGAAAATCCTGAGTTTAAACTGTGAGTGATTCCTGATATCATGAGTTTTGTCTGCTCTGTGGTCAGCATGCGTCCTTTGCTGTACACTGAGGAACATTCGTTCCTTAAGGCCATAATTTCATCCCGCAGTTTTGCAACCCTGAAAAGAACATTGGAAGGGGTTAAAGTATGATATAAAAGGCATTTGTACAAAGAGTGAACACTAATGCACACTACTGACCTTAGTTAATCTGCCTATCCTGGCTTTACAACTGTACCACTAATGTACCACTACTCCAAGATGCTAAAAATGGGAGAAAGTCCAAAAAGACACACAGGAACTCTACTTTTCTGTAAACCTACACTGCTCAAAAACAAATAATGCGTGTTTTTGTTTTAAAAAGTCATTGTAACTATCTTGGTCAAATTTTGCATCATGACTCTTTTCACTGAGTGCTGTACTGTGAGCACTCTCCATATCATTAGCCTTTGCAAACATCATTTATAGGAAGCATAAATTACACACCATGAAGTGATCATTACTTCTGCTATCACATATTTCTGGCATGAACATAAAGCTTTCTGTTTTATCTACTTATTATCCATGTAGAGAATTACTAACAGACTCCTAAAAGTAAAATCCCTGGCTCAACATGTTTTATAGCTTACTTTTATATGTACATAGAGATAGAGAGACATCATTCCACTTGAATCCCCCTCCCTATGAGGTTCTCAGAGAAAATTCTGTGTTATTTATGACATGGTCTTTTTACCCCTGGAGGCATGGTCTTTCTATATCTCATATTGGTCTTGAATTTACAGTTCTTCTCTGCTACCCCTCGAGCCTTTCAAATACAGAGAATACAGGTGATACCCTCATACCCAACTTTATAATTTTATACACACATACTTTTCTAATATTTCTTCATGGACATTTCCATAGCAGGCTAAGCAGAAAACTAACAAAATTGAACTTTTCCATTTTTAACTGCATCTTGTTGACCCAATTCACCTGAACTTTGTCCTTTTTACCTGCATTCAGGTGACACTTTTCCATTTTTTTCATATACTTTTCCTTTTTCTGATGTTGCATATGATTTTTTTAATGGTGGTAGTAAGGATCAAACCCAGGGCCTTGACTATGCTGAGTCAAATATTCACTCTATCACGGGGTAACATCCACAGCCCCACAAAACTATTTTAAACGTTTGTAAATAACATATAGACATTTAAATTACTCAGTTTAGTGATTTCAGTAGTCATCATAATAATAATTATATGAATCAGAAAACTTTTTATTACTGCTATTTACCAAAACATATTACAATTAACATGACAGTTTTGATTAGACAAAGATAAAAAATAAATTTCATAAAATATCATACTCCATACGCCTACCATGCTCCCTCGAAGTATTTGTTCAAAAAGAGTAAGAAGCACTCTTACCTCTGCACCAACTGATCTGCCTGGTAGTATTTTCCATCAATAAGAATCTGTACATCAATGACGTGCTGGCGTAGAAGGTTCTCACATTCAAGTATATACCCGGCAATTTCTGCTTCATTCTGAAACTGCACTCCTGACTCTAATCTTTTAGAATCCTGTGTTTAAAAGAACTTAGTATTAATTCTGTGAAACAAATGTCAAAAACTAACTTTATAAATTTAAAATCCAAATACTGGAAAAGAAGCCTATTTGGACTTTTTTCTCCCCGTTAGTTAAAATACATGTTTTCCTTTGGCTCACTGTCTTCTAAGAGAGAAAAAAAAACCAATCATATTCTTTAACAAAGCCCAAGTTTTGGTAGAGAATGTGTACCAACCAGCAAGCAAGCATTATGAAAAAGTTCTAGTCCATCCAAGCACACACTGGCCCCTGTACAGCAAGCCCCCTGATTCCTAAGATCAACTTACAGACTGGAGGGCATTTCGGGCAAGGATCAGTTTGTCTTCACAGAGGACACTATCCCTCTGAACTCGGGTAGCAATCTGTTGCAGCATTTCCAACCTAAAAAGAAGGAACAAAAGAAAGTAAAGTCCTCCATTTTGAAGTCTAAGAGCTCACCATTCTTGAAAAATGACCCCCACCAGGAAGAAAACCCAGTTCCACACCAATGACTCCATACCTGTGTCCATCAAGGGACTCATTGCCAAAGCTAATGCAGGAGTTGATCAATGTTGGGCCACAATGAACAGATAGCAGATTCTCATTTGAGTCGAGACTAGTCCTAGTGCTGGTACTGTTACTAAACACAGAATCACTGCTACGATAACTGTAACTGCTACTGTGCATTTTCAGTCCTGAAATGATATCCTAGGACCATTAACGTAAAGGACTGGAGAAAGCTCCACTTCTACCGGTGAAAAGTGGCTGTGGCAGAATCTTGCAGCTTTAAGGGATCCTTAAATACGCTTCAACATGTCTATGCAACACACCACAATACTATGCTGATAACTATTCAAAATAATCATGCCTAAAGTCATTCATTTGCTTGCTGAAGTCTGCCTTTTGTAGCCTGCATTAAAGCCCTGCAAGTACAGACAAAGCAGTGTTTGGGCGTCACTGGAAAAGATATGCCAAATATTTTTACTACGAGTCATCAACTTAGAACCACCTAAAAAAACAGTCTGGATACCCAAGAATCCGAGTATCACTAGTGAAGGTAATTCTACCAATAACAACCATCAGCTAAAAGAACACACAGATTTGATGACAGCCTGACTCCTGCAAAGGGATGCTGTGTGCAAAAGGGTGGAAATAATCAAGCATCCAGAAGCAAATGAATTCGATGAGAAACACAGTCTCTTTCCATTTGAACCACCAGGTCACTTGTTCAGGAAGTTAACTAGAAAAATACTGTTACTTTTTTTCTGTATGTGGGAGTCTCTTAGTAGTGTTATTTCCAAACTATAGCTACCTTATGTTTTGAGAAACCAAAGTGTGAAGCATAATATTGGCTCAGTGACTGCAAATGTGTCTGTGCTTGTTTCTCTTTCAGATAGACTATTACAGGGCATAAGAACATTGATCCTTTCCTGCTTGTCTTTTACACACTCCAAATCACATAGCTATTATTTGCGATATACAGTCAATGCCAAAAAAACTTGTTGTGTCAAGAATGAAGCCTTTACTCAACCAAATTCCCAAATACTTTCCTATCTCCAACACTACAAAGCCAAACTGCTGCTTCTCCGTTCAAAGTGTAAACATTTTAATTTTCAAAAGGCGACTACTGTGAGTAAACAGAACCGTTAAAAACAGTAACTGCTGTACCTAACACTTGTTATACAGTAGTTATGTACCAGGAAATTAAACATTTTACACACACAATCTCATCTCATATTCATAACTACCGAATGTTATGTCTGTTACATCCTGTAACAGATGAGGGAACTAAGGCGTGGAGGGTTACAGAACTTGTCTAAGATCACCCTAACGTACAAACTGAAGCACTAAGTCTGGTGCAGAACAGTCGGGCGCGTGGGCCTTCAACTTTGAACTATTGTCCTTCATTAGCATTTCGCTGAGGTTTGAATGTATCTCTAAAATAGCATGTGTTGGAAACATGATCCTCAAAGCAACAGTACTAAGATGCGAGATGCTTAAGAGTGATTAATTCTCGAAGGCTCTACCCTCATGAATAGGTTTACGCCATTATAGAAGGAGTGGTATGGTTACTGCACAGTGGATTCCTGATAGAAAAGTGCTGCCATTTGGCTATCCTGGTTAAGTGACTGCCTGCTCTCCCCTGAACCTACCTGTCTATCCATCTGTCTCTCCTCTCTTCTTTCCATTCCTCTTTTGCCTCTTCCCCTTGTGGTCTTTCAGCCATCCAGCAGGGGATGGTGAGGCACAAAGGCCCTCACTAGATGCTAGCACCACATTGGATCTCTCAACCTCCACAGCTTTGAGGTTCCCACCAGTTTCTTCTTTTCGTTTTTTTAAACCTAAGGCAGTCTTTCTACAGACCCAGGCTGTTCCGAAACCCAGTTCTCCTGTTGTAGGTTCCCCAGTGCTGGGATCACAGTAAGCTTGTACCGTAACACGATATTTAGCTAATAAATTTCTTTTCTTTCTATGTTACCCAGTCTGTGGTATTGTGGTATTGTTGCAGCAGCACACCACAGACTGGATGACATAGAAAGAAATTTATTAGCTAGGTATTGTATTATGGTACAAGCTTACTGTTAAGACACTCATCTTTTTGCAACCCAGAATAAAACAGGAAACAGGTTAGCAAGGAGAATTTTTTTTTTTTTTTGTTTTTTTGAAGCAGGGTCTCCCTGTAACCCCAGCTGTCCTGGAACTCACTATGTAGACCTGGCTGGCCTTGAACTCACAGAGATCTGCCTGCCTCTGCCTCCCAAGTGCTGGGACTACAGGAGTGCACCACCACGTCCGGCTTAAGATACTCATCTTTTAAAATTCAGCTACTATTGTAACGACTAAAAATCCACTCTACATCTTTGCTTTGGAGTATTTCCATTTAATTCAGATGATTAGTTTAATCATGCATAAGGCCTTCATTACATGCATTGCAGGGTCATTTTGACTCTAATAATCTGTTCACACAGGCATAATAACATTATGCTTTAACAAGAATGTAGTCGGTGATCTAATAAAGAGCTGACAAGTTGGACTAGCCCTTGTATCTTTAATGCAATATTTCATGTCAATACTGAAATTAGTGTGTGAGACAGTAAGAACGTAGCTACATTGCATGCCTTACTGTGTGCCAGGCACTGTGCTAAGCACCGAGAAAGGACAGAAAATGCATTTGTCTCCACATTCTTAGTTTATATCTAAGGAACAGGTGACACTAACTAAAACATAACAAATATGAAATCAGAACCAAGGTACACATTCTAAAGGAAGAATACACATAAAATGTGAGTTATAAGAAAGGTGTGTCTCTAGCCTGGAAGACTGTGGTAAGCAACATGGAAGTTGAGGTGTGAGGAGGGTTGAGTAAAGAACAATGGGAGTGATGGAATAGAATCCCTGCCTAAAGTCCAGCCTGTACAAACACCCTGTGTACGGAAGAGGGTGGGACTCTAGCAAGGTGCGCTCCTAAGAGAAGGCCAGTGGGCCTGTTCCACAGTCAAAGAGGTACCTGGCACACAGCCTTAGGCTGTAAGGCCGGCTCCTGTATTACTTAAGGCCCAGGAGGGATAAAGAGCACAAGTCCCACATACTATAGTGGGACTGTAGGATAAAGACTGTAACAGAAACGAATTCATCTAACATGACTGGGCATGGAGCTCAGTGGAACAGTACTTGCCTAGTATGTACCAAGCCCTCGTGTGGAACCCCAGTCCTGAAAAAAAATCAAAGTTTTCTGAAAATTAAGATGTACCTTCCTGGGTAACTGGGTGCAGCAGGAGGAACAGAACAGTAGGCAGCCAGTGATAATTTCATAGACTACACTGCAGAAGTATGGCAGATTGACATTTACCACCTGTTTTTATGGTTGTTGTTTCAGGCAGAGACTCACATAGCCCAGGCTGGCCTCTGACTCACTAGGTAGCCAAGGGAGGATGACCTTGAACTGAGTATCCTGCCTCCACTTCCCAAGTACTGGGATTGCAGGTATCTGGCACCACACCCAGTTTTATGTGAGGTGCTGGTGATTACACCTCTGGCTTTGTGTACACTAGGCACAAAGCTACAGCTTTGTGTTCCCTATTGACTGAACTACATCCCCAGCTTCCACTGCCTTTTACAGGAAGCTCTTTCACTGCCTCATGCAAAGAAGTCCATACTAAAAATTTAACAAGAAAGGAAGAAGCTAATCCCTAACTCATGAGCTTCCAAACTTCCGCCCTGGTGACATAAGGCCAATTTGAGAAAGACTTCTGGGTAATTTTTGATCATAAAACTGTAATGCCTTCTTAGATGAGACTTCACACGGCAGTCCAACTGCCCAGATCCTTTATGTAATTACCCACCTGATTACTCCCACAGCTTCCAGATAAGGAAATGTAGGATCCAGAAGACTAAGAGACTTATCCAAGGTCACACAAACAAGAAAATGGAAAATGTAAACACTGACCCTCCATCCACCTGACTCTAAAACTTAAGCTGGGGCAAGGGACATGGCTGAGTCAGCAAAGGGCCTGCTATATAAGCATGCGGACCTGAATTCAAGTCCTAATGCCGAATGTAAAATGTTGGCATGGTGGCACCCATTTGTAATCCCAGCACTGAGACAGTAAGATCACTGGAGCTCACCGAGGAGCCAGCCTATTCTAATCCACGAGTCCTGGGTCCCAGTGAGAGACGCTGCCTCAAAAAACAAGGTGGAGATCTCCTGGGGAAAGACCAAGTTTGAACTCTAGCCCCGACATGCATGCACACACGTGTCCTTGCACACACATGGAGGGAGGGAAGAAGGGGAAGGGGGACAGAAGGAGTGAGGGAAGGGGGAGGCAGGGGGAGGGGGAGGGAGGAATAGAGAGAGAGAGAAAGACAGAGAGACAACAAAACCAATAAAACAACCTAAGTTCTTTGCATGAAAACAGAGAGATGACCCTCCCCGGCAACAAACCCAGCTTCTTACCTCTCCACTTCTGGTCGCAGTGCCTTTTCCCTCTCAAGCATAGCAATAATGAGTTTGCCCCACTCTTTTTCTATATCATTTGGATGATAACCTTGAAGGAGTTTGATGCGCCCAAATTCTATCCAAATCTTGAGAAAACAAAATAATTAAAATAAAGCAAAGAGGTGAAAAAAATTCACAAAGATTATGCTTGCAAAACATCAAGGAAAATCTGACTTACCTCTAATAATTTATATAGTCTTTTAATTTTAGATTTCTCTGCCTCCTTTGGTGGGATTTCTGTTTCTTTAAATAGTAAATACTGATTATAAAGTGCCTACAATGAAAGGGAAAACAAACTTGGGGTCAGACTGCAAAGCTTGCTTTCCCCATGTCACTACTACAAAGGCATGTCCGGTGTCGTGTGCATGCAGTGGGAGTCCTTTATGAAGTCAAAATTCCAGGTGCTAGATAGTGGTGTCCCATGTTGTACAAGGTTTGATGCAGCTGTTTTATGTTGATGTGAGCCATGATTCAACATGTACCACACAGAATCTGGACAATAACCAACCATGGCACTATCAAAACTCTCTCATCACTTGAACATGAGAGCCTATCTCCGCAAATGATGTGGTTCCCCAAAAATGGGCACGCTGGCTTTTAGTTTCTGGAAAATAATTTGATGCAATCTGCACACCGAACTGTTTTCTTCTATTTCAAGTTCTGTGTTTAACAGAACCGTCAGTAACTGGATAGGGCTAAAATTTGGTTTCAATGTACCACTGGCCAATTTAAACAGAGCTTTTTAAACATATTAAGATGGCTGTTATTAGTTGATGACACCCTGATTATAGAAGCTTCAATCATATAATTATCTCATTTTTGAACCTCTTAAATATCATTTATTATATTTATTTGAAAAGACCTTAATAAAATTATGTTGATAATACATTTCCGAATTTAATAGATGTCTGCTAATTAATGCATCTTATTTTATTCCTCATTAAAATACAGACATATTTCTGTAGGCTTCTAGCCAAAGGTTTGTGGGCTAATACAGTTATTTTCCACTTCCTCGTGATATGTTTTCTTTCCTGTATTATGCATTAGCAAGTAATCCTGTGTGAGCACTCAGGCTTCACCTCCAACTATAAGGATCTGCAGAAATCAGAGACCAACACAAATTTGCCCAATGTTCCAAGAAAAGTAGGAATCCTTTTAGAAACAAGTATTGGAGATGAAAACCTAAAGATACTTTCAACTGAAAAATGAAATCTTTTAGGATGCTGTCAGTCATTAATCTTTGAATGTTTCCATATACAAAATACCATTTATGGTGCCATGTTGCAACAGAAGGGACCAATTTTCCTGCCCTAGAATAGTTCATATCCACACGGGGAGGCACCTTACAATGAAAAACTCTTTTAAAAAGCATCCTATAATCGGGCTGGAGAGATGGCTCAGCAGTTAAGAACACTCACTGCTCTTCTAGAGGACCTGAGTTGGGTTTCCAGCACCCACACTGTGCAGGTCACAACAATCCACAACTCTAGCTCCAAGGAATCCAACACTCATTTCTGGCCTCCTTGGGTACCCGCACACATCTGGCATACACTCAAACAACACAGATACAAATCTAAAAAAGCATTATATCAATAATACCAAGTAACTTTGTGCCAAGGACAAACTCCCTGTGGCAATGGAAGAGCCATGCCACCGATGTCCCATACATCGGTGCATGAGCACAATGGAGGACTTTCATGGGCCCACCCTGTGTTATTCCAGTCTGATCTTGAGAAAAAAGCTTACAGTCAAAGCACTGAGGCTGCTCTGTAGATCACATTCACACTACTGGTTTGTTTTTAAAAAAAAAGTAAATTAGTTTTGTTATTTCAAATAGAATGCACAAAATAAGAGAACTTACTCTTTGATAAGTCTATGTATCCATAATTCTTTTATGTTATTCTAACATCTCTAGCTCAAAGACCTTAACCTAAGTTTTTCAGTATTAGCAAATGTTCTATTAAACCTTTTGGCTACTAACACTGGTCCATTGAGTGTGAATTCTGAATTCATTTATACTGAAGTTAGTGTTTTCAAATTCATAAAAAAAAATGTAGGATGTGCTTTGTACTCTACAAAAGAAGCCTCTGAGGCAGTTTCAACTGGATTCAAGCAGAGGCATGGCCCCAGTCACTGCTATGTGTGTGCTCCCCAGGGACCCTCGTGTCCTAGCATCTGTTTCAGAAACTCTCTCAAATTCTAACTTTAAACTCTCAACAAATCAAAGCTGAGGGGCTATAAACTTCAAGATGCTGTTGCTATGCCCTATTCCAAAGGCCAAAAATGTCAAAAGTATTTGGGAGCTCTTATCTAATCCCTAAATGATTTTAGGGTTACCTCTTCAGAGGGGGGAATGTTAGAGTAGCAAAAAGCCCGATTAAAAAACAAAGATGCTGTTGTTATGTTTTTTTTAAAAAAATTATTTATTTATGACTATATTTTAGTATTTCATTTATTATTCTTATTTTGTGTATGAGTGTATTGCCTGCATGTATATGAGTGCACCCGTGTTATGCAATGCTGCAGAGGACAGAAGAGGGCTTCAGATTCCCCTGGAACTGGAGTTAAGGATGGTTCGTAGCTGCCATGTGGGTGCTGGAAATCGAACCCAGGTCCTCTGCAAGAGCAGTCAGTGCTCTTAACAGCTGAACCATCTCTCCAGCTTGGTGCTATGTTTAATTACTAACATTTACCTCTATTTTCTCTATATATACAAGGAAATAAGTAAAACTTTGTGTATTTATTCATGGCTTGCCAATGGTAATTTATTCTGAACTTCTAAGATTAGAGAATTAACACAGCATTAGTTAAACGATTCTAATCAAATCAATCCAACTGAACATCTGTAATATACCAACCTTTAATTCTACAGGATTATTAGGAAATGTTCTCTCAGACATTGTAATCACATGGTGTCTAATCCACTGGATGAGGTAATTCACCATATTCTGGTATTCTATCCATTTGACTTCAACATCCTAAAACAAAATGGCAGCTTGTGTCTATGGGTAACAAAGATTGCATATAACACAATTTATCAAATGTCTTCCTGTAAATTCATGTCTTGAAGTTTCACAGAGAGAACCAGGTAAATGTTTACTTAGTTTCCACTCATCTACAATTCTTTCCACAGAAACAACTTTAAAAACATACTATCAACATTTGGCCACTAACCCTGGCCATATGAGTGCCAGTTCTGATCCAAAGATAGTGGCTGCCGGGGGCACTGCACTAAAGAGGCTTCTGAGGCTTCAACCAAGGACAACAGGAAAAAAAAAAAAAATGTAAAGAATCTGGGATTCTTTCCAAGATTCAAGTAAGGGGAGTAGCTGCTTGCATAAGCCAGGCTGCCCATCTCTGCCAACCATTTCAGATCCAAGTTCCCTACATACCTGATGCTCAAAGGGCTACACAGATGCAAACCAGACAGGAATGGGTTGGATATGGTGGGATTTTTCAAGTACTCATCAAGCAACTTTTTTAAAAGGAAAGAAATTGGAAGGTTGTCAACTGCTATGTAATTAAGTTTCTGAAAATGCTTTTTAAGTCAAATGCTTATACTCAGTGTTGTAATAAAAAGTAAAGCCTTAAGACATACTATGTATCATCAGGGAGTTATTGCTTAAATAGGGAGATGGGAGACTCACAGTAAAATCAGTTAAGGAACATGAAAAGTAGGATTTAACCAAGTGGTATACACTAAAAATGGAGGTAAGAATCAGGTATGCATCCAGGTGCCCTGCAATGATGACCAGACCAAAGGCTTCTTGGGAAGGGTGGACCCTGAACAGGGCTGCAATGACCAGTGAGTAATCACATGGTTGGGGGGGGGCGGATAAAAGGCAAGAGAGTCCTGAGGGAGGCAGGGCACCAGCTATAAGTAACTGTCTCACTTCAACACTGTAGACAAAAGGCCAGTAATAAGAATTAATATACACAGAGTTCTGGCTGTCAAGGCATCCGAATAGGATTTAACTAGTAGGTTCTGATACAGAAGACAGCAGCTTACAGGAAGATTGATTTGGTGGTCACATGCCAAGTGAATGCAAAGAGAGATGGAAAGCATAAGCTGCCAGTGCTAGTTCTGTGTGAAGGAAGCAGAGGCAGAACGGAGGTATATAAAATGAGAAGATGGACCAAGGAGCATCCCCAGCATCAGGAAGCAACAGCTGAGAGAGGTTGAGCAGGGGAACAAGTTACTTGGCAAACCAAAGTCCTTTCAGCAAAAGAACAGGTGAAGAGACTGGAAATCGATCTAAAACTAGCACCACAGAGGTGCCATCAGAATCAGAAAAGTGAGTGCAAAAAAAGTGGAATAATAATAAAAAATACAAACAATTATAAATAATAAAATTATTACATGTAAAATTATAAATAATAAAAAATATCTGTGAGAAAAAGGGAGGGAAGAAACCTGAGGAGAAGGGGCATCGTCATCATCATCATTCCCAAATGAGCTTCTGGTTACTTCCAGAAATACGTTTGTTCAGCATGGCCACTTCAGAGTGCACAGTTGATTTAAATAATGAAGATCTTTGAGAAACTGACTTAAACAAAACATGATAACTGAAGCTGTGTGTGAGAAACCTTGCTCTGTTCACCTGGCCAAATGCCTTCATCTAGGGCACTCCTTTAAATCAGAGAAACACTCTGTAGTTACCTAACTTCATGAGATTTCTTAAGTTAACTTTGAAATGCGTTATGAAGTGAGATGGCCTATTATAAACATGACAGGAATACAGCAGTTATAAATTGCACCAAGCTAAAAAAGAAATTCTTGAAATTTCAGTAATTGGTAACTTTTATTTATCAAATGGCCTATAACACTGAAATTGCTTCCTGAATTTGTGATACAGGACAATTTTTTAGTTATACTTTAATTTTCATGGTAGAATGATGCTGTGAAATGTACATACTATCAGCTAAACAGCATGTTAACTCAAAGTCTTTTAATACTTGGCATTTAAAATCTATTTAAAAGCTGCACTACTTGTCAAAGACTTCAATTGACTGGTCATCACTGAAGTAGCAGCTTCAAGTGCAGAGAAAGGAATACTCACATTTGCACTGATGCCTTCTCCACCTTCAGGGACTTTGGGGAATGCATCGTAGAGAGATGACACATAGGTTATCACTGACTTTTCATCAGGCGAAGAGACATCAACATCTAAAGCCAGCAATGTAAATTAATTATTTCCTAATGCTGACACATTCCTTCTGATCAGATGTTCATGCCGGTGCACACAGAATTAAGAAACAACTCACCTTCAGGGTCTAGAAGTCTTATAACACCAATTTTTTCAGCTACATAAAAAGCATGCTCTAAATTTGCAAGGTTGCTTTGAACAGCAACAGTATTCATGTCGATCAGGTCCGGCCTAGGAAAAAGAGCACTGTGTAAACCCTTTATGCACCAACTTAACTTGACAATTACAAGTATTAACTATCTAGATGACAGGTTCTGCAAAACTAATACTAAGCCCATGGTCAAACACAGAGATTTCCTTCAAACATTAAGCACTGCTTACTTCTCTCAGACACTTGTGTGGCCCAAAAGAAACACAGAAAGGAAAATATAAAAATCTGAACATATGTGACTTTCCTCATTGTATAAATGTCTTCTAATCAGAAAGATATGAAGATCTGTCCCACTCAACTGATTTACATTCCACTACTCTGATGGCATCCTTCCAAACCAACCAGCATCTTCTTAGTATGTCTCCCCACATACAGAAGTTTTGTGCCTAGTGTAATGCCACACCCATGCTAATACCTTCCCAGGACAACCTTACCTTCACTGTTGTCTTTTACAATTCTATTTCCCCTTCCAAGCAGAGATCAAACCCGACCTCCTCTATGCAACATGTGCTGATCTTCTTAAGTCTCATTTCCCTGTTTCCTGAACTCCTTATACTCCTGGACTGTGCTACTCAGTAGCACCTAGGATAACTTTATACTTCCCTTTCCCTATCAATTCACTGTCTCATGTACATGCATATCTTGTTTTCTCAACAGATCAAATTTTAGATAGCGAGATCCATGTACTAATAAAATACGTTTTATCTTCATACTAAAATACACATGCATAACAGATCCTCAATAAAATATCTACTGGAATGTTAGCAAAAACGTTGCTTACTTAGTAATTTAAATTATAAATTTTCTAGAATAAATGCTGGTGTGTATTTCATACACAAACATGTGCATTTGCCTCCCCTCATTTCAGCCCCCACCCAACCCCAGGCCTCACATCTTTTTAATTTGTAAGACATGATGTCTAAACTGGAGGGAGTACTTTGAAGCTAACTTTATCCACATGAGGAAACCACTTCTCAAATATTGCTTGTATAGAAAGTGGCAAAACTGAGGGTTAGAAACCTCACTCAAGGTGAGAGCCTCGAATTTTGAACTCAAGGAAAAAGCATTAAAAGAATACAGACGAATAAGGGAAACGAAGTGCTCAACACAAAGCACAAGACCTATTCTCTAAAAGCTCCTAGTGAGAACTCCATTATCAATTTGCAGACTTCCTATCTTGCTCAAACAATCCTTTGGGGAACCACACAGAGTGGATTGATCTTCTCAATGTGCTCACAGGTTTGTGTAAGAATGAATTGAGTTATTTTGAATACTATTTAGGAGGTCATTTACAAGAGAAAACTCTGAAAGTAAGTACATCATGACTCTTGAAGAAGAATGGCAAACAGAAGTTCCTCCTCTCAGGGTTTGTTTCTTCAATCTGAAGAAAAGGCAGACTCCATGCAAAATAATCCATGTAAACTTTCATAGGGCTTGGAAGGAAGTGTTCATAGACCAGACATGTAGTTCCACTTCCTACTTGTTCACATCCCAGGAAATTACCACAGCTCCTTCACTGACTTTCATATGCCACCAATACAATCCCTCAAAAGTAATCCTATACCACTGACAGCAGTAGAGGCAAGGGGGCAGACCTGTACTAAATAAGATTTTAAATTCACACAGACTCATGTTCAAGAACCTGTTGATGTCAAGAATACTAAACAGGTATGTTCAACAGTCTAGACCAAGGTCCTCTAATAAACAGTTGTTTTTGTTTCTATAAAACTCAAAATTTCTGGAGAATTAAAAACCAGGCTTTCTGAGTCTGCCAACTTCTGAACAAGAAACTGCATGTTATTATGAGAACCCTGCCATTAGCAAAGAGTAAACACTGAGTAATCCCCAGGAGAATGAATAAAGTCATTGAAGAATCAAGTTTTTAGATGAAGAGAATAAAACACAAAACTTCTTTTAGAATGACGTAGTCATCTCAGCACAGAAACAGCTGCACAATAGTGAGTTTGAATAAACCCCCTGTTCTGTCCTGCAATCAACATTGTAATACAACAAAAATTGGAGTGGCTACCCTCTATTAAAGGTCTGTAGAAGATAAGGCAATTAGTTAACCAAAAACAGAGAAAGGGGAAAAAAATTAAAGCCACTGTGAAAAACAAAGAGCTCCAAAGTCTTCAAAACTACATGGCTTCCCAGGTTCTGTGGTCCTTCCCAGCCTTTCAGTGTGGCTTTCCTGCTCTTCCTGGAGCATCAGAGGCCTGAGGAGCTACCTCCTCCCTTCTTTGCAATCTCATTGAGATAACACAATCTTTAAAAATTTCAGCTCTCTGAGACTAGGAAGATGACTCTGGGAAAGTGTGCTTGCTTTGCAAGCAGGAAGGTTTGAGTTCAAATTCCCAGTGCCCAAATAAAAAGCAGGGCACGGCGAGTATACCTGCAGCTCCAGCAATGGGAGGCAGAGAGATGGAGTCCCAGAGCTCACTCACCATCCAACCCAGTCAGAATGTCAAGCTTTGGTTGAGGGTAGATCTTGTCTCAAGGCAATAATGGAAATGGCCATAAAAGACACTCAAGATCCTGCTCTGGCTTCTGTAGGTGGCCCTTGGGCACACATAGCTGTACATTCATACATACAACATACATCATGCATAACACACACTCATCACAGGGATATCACATGTGTACACAAAAAGATCCCATTCTTTTCCAGTTACTAAAGTATTTATTTTCACCATCAAGGTAACATTTTCTTCTGTGGAATGTTAGCAAGAAATTTCATTTCCGCCTATGTTTAAGCACTGGAGAGTATGAGATGATACTGTAGCATACAGAAGGTGGTGACCATGCTCCTACACTAGATTTGAGACCGTTGAGCATTATTTGTTTTAATTTCCTTATTTTATAAAAGCCTTTCCAGATCATGTAATCCTCTAACAAAAAATATACACTAGGCTTATTATAGAAGAGTGTTTTGCTTGGCAAAAATCTCAACTGTTTTATTATCCTATGATAATGTAATTTTTCCAAATGATTCAGTCATCATGATTATAAGCTTTATACCATTCATAACCCATCTTTCCTTCCAGACATGACTAAATCGACTTGGAAAGAAGTGAAGATACAAGAAGATTATATACATTTTAAATTGAAAATCTAAAACTAAAAGGACATAAAGTCAAGTTAAAAGTGAGATCAAATGTGCAAACCTACAGAGACTGGTGGTACATGCCTAAATCCCAGCAGTCAGGAGGCAAGGGCAGGCGGATCTCTATGAGTTTGAAGCCAGCCTGGTCTACATAGTGAGTTTGTAGTCAGCCAAGATTATATAATGATACCCTGTCTCAAACAGGAGGCACAAACCTTTTCTTAATTTGTTATAAAAAATGTATTTTAAAATGGCTACTGGCATAATATAAAGTGATTTTGAATAAAAACAATAATTTAATAGTTCATATAGCACTCACTTTATACAAAGAACAACACACACATCATATGCACACATATACAAAATGTGGTAAACATTAAAATAGAGATACCCTGGCCTTTCTACTGTTGTGTAGCAATTTCCTCCGAAGCTCATTAAGACCTAGGAAATTCTAAAGGAGTCCTGTTAAAACTCAAGAATTCTAAAGGAAGGCTTGGCAAGACTCAGGAGATTCTAAGAAGAGGCTCCTTAATTAAAACTCAGAGAGAAAAGAACTCAGAAATCTCAGGAAGTCCCTTAAGCTGACCAGATGCACAAGGTCCCTAGTTCCCCTAGGTTACATAAACCCTAAGGACTCCTAAGGAGAGGGAAGCCTGGAACAGGTGCAGCCCACCCAAGCTGCCTAGAAGGTCCTCTCTTACTGTCAAGCTGCCTGCATGTCATGCAGTACGCTCCAGGGTTCCAGCTTTCATGAGCTGTCCCCCATGTTGGGGTAGGCTTTCAGTGGTACAGCTGTCTCTGAGTCACTCCTGCTTCTGAAGTAACCCCTCACCCATCTCCTGTTGGTAGCTCCAATAAAAACTCATTGGTTCACCAACATGGACTTTGGTGCAACAGCTACTTTAGTCTATTATGGGTTCCCTTTCTGGTGAGTAGACATGGGTGTTACCTCTCCCCAGGAAAGTCTCTCATACAACGTGACTCAGTCTAGATTAGGGTTCTAAAACTATTCGACCAGTGGGAAGCACTGGCACAGTTTTTTTGTTTTTTTGTTTTTGTTTTGTTTTTTTTAAGATAAGAGTCATCTTTAGCCTAGTCTGGACTCAAATTCTGTAAGTAGTCAAGAATGGCCATGAACTTCCAATGAATCTGCTTTTACCTCCCAATTGCAGGCAAGAACCGCTATGCCCAGCTTTATGTGGTATTAAGGATGCCACCCATGCACTCATCAACTGAGCTACATCCCCAGACCCTTTATAGCATATATTTTTATTGGGGTATTCTTATCAGGCAAATCTGAGAACTAAACTATGTGAGAATCCTGCATCTCTAAGTTTGATTTTCTTTTGAAATTTCAATATTTAAAACAATTATTTTATTTTTTTAAAAGAAAATAACTTTATTCTAATTAACTCATAAATACAACATCACATAGTAGCAATACAGGCACAACGTACACAAATGTAAACAGGCCTATTCCTTTATACCCTTGGAAGGACACAAAGAACTGTTTAAATGTAAGAGAGAATGAGACAGAGTGTTGGGGAGGTTGTGGATCAGTCTAATTCTGGAGTATGTGGTAAAATGACAAAGTCTGTAGAGCAGCATTTGATGCTTTAATTGGATTTTAAAACAGTTGAGGCTTAGTGATTTGAGTCACCTGATCATCTGAAAAGACACCGGGAACAACTTTCTATTTCAACTGAAAGAAAGAGTGGCTACTAAAAGCTGGGGTAAGATTGGTTATTGGGAGTTATCATTTAATGGGTACACATTCAGCCACCAAGATGGTCATTTTTTGTTTGTTTGTTTTGAGACAGGGTCTCTCTGCAGCCCCAGCTGGTCTGGAACTTGCTATGTAAACCAGGCTGGGCTTGATCTCATAGAGATTCAACTGCCTCTGCCCCCAAGTGCTGA